CATCAGATGGATGTGCACATTGCGTTCCTTCATGGAAATCTTGAGGATAAGGTGTACATGAGACTGCCACCAGGTTTTTCCAATTCTTCCAATGTAGTGTGCAAACTGAACAAATCTCTGTACGTTTTGAAACAAGCTCCAAGGTGTTGGTTTGCCAAGTTGTCTGGAGCTTTGAAACGATATGGGTTTGTCCAGTCTGTTCCCGATTACTCCTTATTTTCTTTCGTTGGAAAGAAAGGAGTAATACATGTTTTGGTTTATGTTGATGATTTAATTATTGCTTGAGATAATTCAGAGATGGTGAGCAAGTTCAAAGCATATATGGGGGATTGTTTTCATATGAAGGACTTGGGGACACTAAAATATTTTCTTGGCATTGAGGTGGCGAGGAGCACGTCTGGGATTTTTCTCTGCCAACGGAAGTATGCTTTGGATATTGTTACTAAAGCCGGGTTGTTAGGTGTCAGGCCATTAGGTGCACCCATGGAGCCAAATCATCATTTGGCTCGTTCCCAAGCTCCGATTCTGATGGATCCAAAACCATATCGCCGTCTCGTAGGGCGGTTAGTCTATTTGTTTGTTACACGACCAGAGCTTTCCTATGCAGTGCACACTTTAACACAATTTTTGAAGGAACCAAGGGAGGATCAGTGGTCTGCGGCACTTGGGGTGGTCCGTTATTTGAAAGGATGTCCTGGACATGGCATTTTCCTCTCTGCAGACAATAGTCTTCAGCTCACAGGATGGTGTGATTCGGACTGGGCAGCATGTCCTTTGACACGGTGGTCGCTGACAGGCTGGTTTGTGAAACTTGGCGACTCACCTGTTTCGTGGAAGACAAAGAAGCAAACAACGGCGGCTCGTTCGCCTGCTGAGGCAGAGTATAGGGTTCTTGCTTTTCTTACTTGTGAGTTGAAGTGGTTGAAGAATTTGTTGCGGTGCCTAGGGGTTGAACATAAGAACCCTATGACTGTTCGTTGTGACAGCACCGCGACCCTACACATTGCTTCTAACCCAGTTTTTCACGAACGCACAAAGCATATTGAGATCGATTGTCACTTCGTTCGTGATGAGCTTTTACGAGGAGAGATTCGTGCCTACTACGCATCAGCTCGCAGATATTCATACGAAGGCACTTGGGAAGTCACGACTGGAGTTTCTTAAATTATTCCCAAGTTGGGCATTTCTTCATTACATTCTCCAACTTGAGGGGGGTGTAAAAGGAAAGAGAATATTTGGAATATATATATATTTTCGTATATATTAGTTTTGGTAGTTTTCTTGTGTAGAGATTCCTCTTCCTTTCTTAATTAGGATTCTCAACTTGTGAGAACCTATATATATATATGCCTTGGTTGTAAATTGTAAACACAAGAAATACAAGAGAATTTTCTCCGAATTAATTCTTTCAATAAAGGAGTGTGAATTTACAATATTTTATCCACGTTCTTAACGAAAATGTTAACAAAGAACCATTCGTGGAAATGAATATAATAATTAGGGACTAAATATGTAAAACGATCAATAACTGAGGACCTTTTATGGAATTTACTCTAAAAATAAAGTCAATCAAATCTCGTAAACAGAAATGGGGAGAACGTTTTAGGATGGAGAGAGTAATACATATACAAAATACTACCTCCGTTCCGGAGTATTTGTCCAGTTTTAATCTTTTTCAGTCAACCAATTTTAACATTTGGCCTAAAGTTAAATGAAATATTTATTGTATATTAATTAAATAAAATATTATTTTGAAAATATTTTATAAAATTAATTTAATAAAACTATTTTTGTATCAATATAACTAATAACATTTGTATTTAATTTGGGGTCAAATTAAAGCTTACAAATTTTGATCGTAAAATAAATAGTAATCACCCTAAATAAGACTAAAACATAAAGAAAAATATCAAAATAGGGCTTCCACATTTTTTTTCCGAAATAGAACTTTGCACTGTGGTAATGTGATAGTGTACATGTGCATATTACTATATTTTTTTGGTAATGTATATGATCATGTTTGGTAATGTAAGTCCTATTTTGGGAATAAAAATATGGAAGTCCTATTTTGGTACTCCGTATATTTTTAATGTTTTAGTCCTATTTTGGTCTTTCTCTCATAAATAAAAATTCGACAAATACTTCGAGACGGAGGGAATAAGACATAACAAAATAAAATGCATCCAAATTAAGGGGTCTATCCAATCTGTTCGTTTGGTTCAACTGAAGAGCAGGGTCGAACTTGAGGGAGGTTTGGGCGGGCAACGACTGAGCTTCCTAAGTTTAAGATGTCCTAAATATTTTATGCATAGTGTATAAATTTTTAAGTTCGATTTGTTTTCTTCATATTCCTTTATATTTGAAGACAGAAAACTATTAAATACTCCCTCCGTTTTTATTTTGATTACAAAATAAGAATCCGTTTTTATTTTGATTACCAAAATAAGAATTAGGAGATAAAATTCCATGATTTTTAAATCATTTATTTACAAATTGGCACATCAATAAGAACTGAAAATTACATATTAGAAAACTATACAAAATGAATGTGACAAGAATATTTTATTTTATCAAATAATCAATCAAAACACGCAAAAAACAAAAATTATCAAGAGGTGAGAAAAAATAAAATTGTAATCAAAAAAGAGATTGAGGGATATAATGCATTACAAGATTACTATTAATACTATATTCACACATTTGTAGTGACACATGCAATTCTCAACTTCTGTACGGTCTCTTAAGGTACTTTAATATTTTTTTCTTTATATCCAAAGCATTTATTGCATTTAATTTTAATTTTAATTGCTCACTACATCCTAAAACGTTTTTTCTCGTTTCTGTTAACGAGGTTTGATTGAATTTATTTTCAATTCAATATATTTAATTGTAGGTGTAAAATTAAAAACTAAAATTTAAATATTTAAAAATAAATTACATCAAAAGATCTATAAAACAAGAGATGACAAGACTTTATTATTTTTTCAAATAACTTACGGAGTACAAAAATAGCTAAATAAAGTGATTAAAATCTTACCGTATAAATAGTAACTGGAAAGAATGTTTTAGGACGAGGGGAGTAAAAAGATATTTTAACTCTTAGCTAGTAATTACTGGTAAGACCTACTCCCTCCGTCTCTAAATATTTGCCACACTTGTATTCCCGAGGTAAAAAATATCATGTTTTTTAATTCATTTTATTTACATATTGGTATAGAAATAAAAAATAAAATTTACATATCAAAAACCACATAAAAAGTTCTTCAAAATAAGAGGTGTCAACAATATTTTATTTTATCAAATAACCAATGAAAACGTAAAAATAAACAAAAGTTCCCGCGACTGCTGAAAAAGCAAATGTTGTAAATATTTTGGGACGGAGAGAGTATTTTTATTCTTCGCTCTAATCTAAGCCTAAGAAATCTTAGGAACATGTCTGCGGAACAGTACGTATTGGTTTTAATTCCAAAAAAAAACATTAATTTTTTATGCACACTTTAGTTTAATCTAGTTGCACCGGAAATTATATCGTACATTCGGCTGTACGGTTCTTCCTGTACAATCGGCGTAAAATTGATCAGAATTAGGTTTGAATTAGCCGTCCACTTCAACGTCTTCGTCCCCGTGTTCGTCGAGTTGGTATATGGTACATCCGGATGTACCTAGAAATAGGTACATTCCGGTAGTACTCATTCTGAAATAAAATAGTATTCATTCTCGTACAAATATATACAATAATTTCAAAATACATAGTACTCATTATGGCAAAGGTAGTACTCATTTTAAAATAAAGAGATACTCATTTTTACACATTTGTCTAATATAATTATAATAAATAGCGTAGTGTTCATTCTTTAAAAAAAATACTCATTCTCAAATAAGGAAATGTTCAATCTGAAATAAAGTATTGTTCAATTTTTTCACAATTAAAAAGTTTAATATCATCATCAACTTCTTCCTCTATTCGATTCGTTCCTACTCATTTATACTCTCTGAAAATGGAGAATTTAAAACTCAGGTTTATTCATGTTTGTATTGAATAAGAATGTGATAATTCTCATAAGTGTTGGTACTCCTTCTCAAATCTGCTGGTACTCATTGTCATATACTCCGTATAATAGTTCTCATATATGTTCTGAGCATTGGATAAAAAGTTTGAAAAATTTACAAAAATACCAGGTTGTACCTAAAGGAAGGTACATCTGGATGTACCATATAATTTGGCGTGTTCGTTCATCTCCTCCGTCTCTGAGTTGGTATATGGTACATCTGGATGTACCTAGAAATAGGTACATCCCATTAGTACTCATTCTCGTACAAATATAAACATTCATTTCGAAATACGTAGTACTCATTCTGGCAAAGGTAGTGCCCATTTTAAAAAAAAGAAGTACTCATTTTACACATTTGTCTAATATAATTATAATAAATAGCGTAGTGATCATTCTTAAAAAAACAATACTCATTCTCAAATAAGGAAATGTTCATTCTGAAATAAAGTATTGTTCAATTTTTTCACAATTAAAAAGTTCAGTACTATCACCAACTTCTTCATCCATACCCTTTTCGTTGAATCTTCCTCTATTCGATTCGTTCCTACTCATTTATACTCTCTGAGCATGGAAAATTTAAAACCCAAGTTTATTCATGTTTGTATTGAATAAAAATATGATAATTCTCATAAGCGCTGGTACTCCTTCTCAAATATGCTGGTACTCATTGTCATATATAATAGTTCTCATATATGTTCTGCGCATTGGATAAAAATTTTGCAAAATTTACAAAAATACCAGGCTTTACCTAAAGGATGGTACAGCTGCATGTACGGTATAATTTGACTTCGTCTCTAGCATCTTGCTCTCCGCCCTCCACTCGTATTTAGGAGAGAAGTCAACTACGGAGTCGTATCTCGTAATAGTAAGGGATCCACAATTTTCGAAAAATACAAGGTTGTTGGCGAAACTATTGTCGTTTATAAATACCCATTCCCTACCGCTTCAATCTCACCCATCTATTCGAGTTCTACTCCTGTGTTAATTGCCTCTCACGCGCCTCTTACTTCTTGCCAGAAAACATTATAGTTTTTTTTTTAACAAGAAAATATTATTGTCGTTTTTAGACTTACTCATAAATATATATTATTTTGAGAACATCTTAATAATTATTAATATTATCAGTAATTAAGGTACGTAAATTATGTCGCCGTCTGAGCAGGAAATAACAGAACGGAGGTCTGCCAATTATGCCCCTTCAATTTGGACCGATGCATTTATTCAATCTCGAACCACGGAATATTTGGTGAGTCTTGCTAATACTCTTCCCATTCTAATGTATTTGTCCAGTTTTTTACTCCATCCATCCTATATTTAACTTCCTGTTTTGACTTGAGCTCATTTTTAAGAAAGAGTAAAAATTCCTTTGACTTTCCAAAATTGCCCCTCAACCCTTCTTCTACTTCGCTGCCCCTGATTATTGACGTGAGCTTGCCTAACTCCAACAAAAATCATCCAACCACCACAAGCATATATATCCAACAAATTCAAGCTTTTGGAACAGAATCGATTCATCTGTTCTGAAATAAATTTTTTTTGCATATATATACGCTTCATGTATATCAGTAGATACGAAGAAAGATAATCACACATGAGCCTTAAATCGATCATTGACTCCACCCAATTCAAGAAATTTGGTGTATCAAAAACACACCCAACATTAAAAAGGGGTAAAATCAAAGATGTTAAAAAACACAGATCTGAAATACTCCGTAGAAAGAATTAAGTATAAGATGCAATAGAAAAAAATGGATCTGCTCTTCTTAGGCTTTTTAGTGTGTTAATCTTAACAACAAAGAATAGATCTGAAAATGAATGGANAAGAGAAGGTCGCTGGGATGAGATTATGAGAAGTAGAAGTTAGAATTAAGAAGAAATTAAAGAAAACGGATGAGGTTGGGGTTAAAGGAGGACGTGAGAATTAGGAAGGAAAAAAGAAAGGATAGGTTAGAGGGTATTATTGTCATTTGATATAGTAGAAGTTGCCATTTTAAGTAATGGGAAGATAATTTTAGGACAGCCTGAAAAGAAAAGTGAGAAGTTAAATTTAGGACGGAGGGAGTATTTAATTGAGGTTTAAATTAAAGTTCATTCAGTTTGACTCGGAAAAGGTCAAACTGAACGAATACACTACGACGAAGGTAGTACTTTCTAAAAGTCTTGGATTATTAGGTAAGTTTGACTTCTTCAAAAATTAAATTTAATGAATTTAATCTTCAGCTACACTAAATTTGCATTATTAAATATGGAGTATTAATATATTGCACTTTTGCACTTAATAATAATTTCAGCAAGCTTATAATAATTTCCGCAAGATAAAGACGACTTAAACACGTAATTTTTATATCCAATACAAATTTTATTGCACGTGTGGATCAAAATGAAAATATATAGCACGAATTCGATAAAATTTTATGTCCCCCCTCCGAGGAAAACAGAATCCAATTATCATTACTATTCACGAAATTAAATTATATTTTCTACTGTAATAGGAGAGTAAATTTTACTCCTTCCGTCCACAAATAAACTTCCCATTCACTATTCACATGGTCAAACTTTATTCATTTTGTTGGCATATTTTCGTCACCCATTTGATAAAATAATATAATATTGTCACCTCTACTTTTGTAGATCTTTTGATATAGTTTTTTAATATGTAATTTTTATTTTTAAATTTTACACCATTTTTCATATAAAATGATTTGAAAATAATTTCAGTCAAACATCGTAACGCGCAACGGGAAGTTTATTTGTGGACGGAGGGAGTATTTGATTATTTAATAATTTTATACTCCCTCCGTTCCACAAAACTCTTCCTCTTTCGTTTTTTTGCTTTCCACAAAACACTTCCACTTTCTATTAAAAAACCACTTTTACCCCTACCTTTTCATACCCTACCTATCACATCATACTTTTTCACTAATAACCAAACTATCACATCTTACTTTTTCCCATCACATCAGGGGCAAAATTGGAAAGTCAACCAAAATTACACTTTTCTTATTTTCCCCAAAGTCAAAACCGGAAGGGTTTTGTGGAACGAAGGGAGTACAAATTAAATTCTCGAGTATCAAGTTAAATTTAAGTCATATGGTGCAGGATGAGAAATATGTGGAGCAAGCTGCAAGGCTGAAGGAAAGGGTGAGGGGTTTATTGGTGCAAAAAGAGGGGACATTATTATCGGAACAGTTGGAGCTTATTGATGTTCTTCAAAGACTTGGATTGTCACACCATTTTGACCATGAAATACAAGAAATACTCTCAGCCTTCAACCAAAAACATCACAATAATAATGATGATGATGATGACAATAACAATAACATGAATCTGTACCAAGCCTCTCTACTATTTCGGCTGTTGAGACAACAAGGGTACCCTATCCCACAAGGTGCGTATGTACCCATCCAGGTTCAATTATCCTAACTCACTCTTCTATATAGCGGAAAACTTGTTAAGAGTACAATTGTTTTTGTCGTTTACCTCTCGATAACTTTTGTTTGTTTGTGTGCTTTTGTTAACCGTTTGATTAAATAAAAGATTACTGTCACCTCTTGTTTGGTAAAATTTTCGATGTAGGCTAGTTTCTTACATTTAATTTTTTTTAACTATCCGTATACAAATTTTTAAAATTATTAAATGTAGGGTTTTGGCTCACAAATGAGAATTGTCATCTAACTTGAGACAAAGAGAGTACATATATATTCATCATGAGTTGTGCTTTCATGGTTCTAAGATTTAAATGTAAAAAATTGACCTTCTCACACTTTTCATGAGCCGACATAAGGATCTTTTATTTCTTTCGAAGAGCTCTACTCATCTATGGTATTTATATACTAAAATCTATAAAATGAGTGTGGACGTTAGCATCATAGAATTGAAGAAATTTCCATTTACCATAACGGTGAGGGGGGGGGGGTTCAGTTCCTGGTGAAATACTCCCTCTCTTTACTATAACGGATCGGACATTTTTACTCAAAGTAACACAAATTAAATATAGTTTTAAATAATTGTATATTATAATAATTTGGTACATCAAAATTATATTTTAAAATAAACCCAATATATTTTAGAAAAAAATTGTTGAGAACAAGACTAGAATTTGATACTTAAATTGTGCAATGCTTTTATCATAAATTAAATACTACCTCCGTTTCTCAAAAGAGTTCCTCTTTTGACTTTGGGGGAAAATAAGGAAGTGTTAAATTGTAGTTGACTTTCCAATTTTGCCCTTGATGTGATGGGTAAAAGTAAGATGTGATAGTTTAGTTGTTAGTGAAAAAGTAGGGGTAAAAGTGGTTTTTTAATAGAAAGGGGAAGTGTTTTAAGAAAAACAAAAAAAATGAAAGAGGAAGGGTTTTAAGAAACGGAGGGAGTATAGTTTTAAATAATTAAATGTTACTCCCTCTGTCCATTAATTTCTTTCTCACTTTCCTCTTTTGAGTGTCTAACAATTTCTTTTCCATTTCCTATTTTGGCAAAAAACTTTTAATAAATGTGCCAAACCAAAAAAGAAATTTTTGGACGGAGGGAGTATAAAAATTTGATATATACCAAAACTATATTTTAAAATAAACCCAATATATTTTACGTGGGTGATTAGAATATAATGAAGTTGCATGCGCGCATGCAGGGATGTTCAAGATGTTCCTGGACGACGACGGGAACTTTGAGAAGAGGCATAGTGAGGACGTGAAAGGAGTGTTGAGTTTGTACGAGGCTTCTTATCTTGGGATGGAAGGTGAAGAAATTCTAGAGAAGGCCAAGCAATTCTGCATTCACCACTTGAACTCTATGCTCCAAGCTGGTGGTGGCCATGAAGAAGATGAAATGTGGGAGGAGGAGGTAAGGCATGCATTAGAGATGCCTCTGCATTGGAGGATGCCGAGGCTCGAGGCCAGACACTTCATCGACGTGTACCAGAAAAGAGCCGACATCAAAACGGAGGAGATTGTTGAGCTGGCAAAACTGGAGTACAACATGGTCCAGGCCGTACACTTGAAGGAGTTGAAAGAGCTGTCCAAGTGGCACAAAGACATTCAGCTGGCAGAAGCCATGGGAGGGTTTGCAAGGAGCAGATTGGTGGCAGGTTTGCTGTGGAGCGTTGGGGTCATCCCCCATCCCAAGTATGAATATGCAAGAAACATCTTAACAAAGATTTCTGAGTTTGTTACTATGGTGGATGATGTGTATGATGTTTATGCCACCCTACGTGAAGCCGAGACTTTGACCCATGCCATCCAGCGGTATGTAATTTATTTAATTAATTACAATTAATTCAATTAACTTCGTTCTCCAATCAAATTAATTACCCCTAATTAATTAACTTCTCACAACTCCTTACAAATGAATTACGTAGTATTATTCAATTAAAAAAAAAATTGTTCAACTCCCAATAATTCTTAGAGACAAATTGTTACAGACAAATTTAATTTGATTTGCAGATGGGATGTGAATGCTATCGAGGAGGAGGATCTACCAAGTTGCGTTAAAGTTTTCTTATTAGCCCTATTCAATTATGTTAACCAGATGGTTTATGACGTACTTATCCAGCTTGGAATTAACGTTCTCCCCTACCTCAAACAAGCGGTGCGTATCCCATAACCGGCGCAGATATATATATATATATATATATATATATATATATATATATATATATATATATATATATATATATATATATATATATATATATATATATATACATATATA